AACAACAACAACAACAAGCTGCAGTCCAAGCTGCAGTATTACCTAGTTACCATGACCTTTTGAATCATGTGATTTTATTTGCAAGGGCTATAGCACACCTTATTTTTGTTGTAGCTGGTGTTTCTATAGGCACCGATTTTGTCAAATTTTCTGGTGTTTTAGTTACAATGCTGTGGTGATTAGTATTTGTGAACCTATGTCAATAACTTCTTTGAGAATGAAATAGTAATTAAAGGAAAACTAGGAAAAAATTTTTCAAAAGGCTTCTGCTCAGTTACTTAAAAGATTTTAACTCAATGTAGAAAGGTTTTATAACACAATTTGTTGTTAGTGTTCACATAATTTAAAAACTATTACAGTTAAGCAAGTTATAACTGTATCACATATTATTTTATGTTTAAAATGGGTAATATTATTAAGGATTCTGTATGGTCTGGTCCAGCAGGAGATCCATGGGGTAACAGCATGAGTTATTGCACTTGGTGACAGCCATCTTAGGGACACCACTGATAATTCAATTTAGCATTCCTTTGTTTTTCCTTTGATCAGTTATAAAATCCTTTTGGTATTCTTATTAATTAATGAGTTAAATAGACTCTTGGACATTTTATATGCATGCTAGCATGGTTATATCCTCTTTTTAAATGTGTCATATACAACTCTGTAGAAATAAAGATTAATTTGTAGAAACTGGGTGACATTGTAGATGATTCTTGTCTGAGGACAATACAAAGTCCCGAAGTCTATAGCAGTGCAAATGAATTTCATTGTGTAGGGAAGCAATTGAGTTTTCCTCCAATAGAAAAGATAGCTTCAAACCATACAATAAATAAATATACTTATTACCCGGTGGGATATCAAACAATTTTTATGTGTATTTTGTTGTTAAGTGCTGTCGAATTGGCTCCAGCTCAAAGCAACCCTGTATAGGGTTTCCAAGAAGTGGCCGATGAGTTCTACCCACAGACCTGTGGTTCACACTGACCTTGTGGTGTAGTGCTAACCCTACAGCATCACACCAGGACTCCTTACATGTATTAGCAAATTTATTTCAGCATTCTTTTGACTAGCTGTATAAATCTCTTCCTCAAACTCTCCTTTGAGTCAGTGGTTTCCTCATTAATCATTAAACTAAATAGTTGACATATGTTCATGTTATAGTTATTTGCATGTGCATCATGTTTTTAACTTTGAGAATCATACTTTAACATGTCTAAATCATACTTTAGACAGTATGGATTGTACAGAAATGAAATACAGTTCTTACTCTCAAGAAGTCTAACAGGTAAGCTCTGCCATATGGCAAATATGCAAATACCATGACTCAGGAGGATCAGTATTGGATTTTGATCCACAAGGTCAGCAGTTCAAGCCCACCAGCTGCTCCACAGAAGAAAGATGAGGCTTTCTACCCTATACAGGGTTGTTATGAGTTGACAGCAATGAACAACAACAGCACTATAATTCAATGTAAGCTACATCTCATGAAGTCAATATGAATGTTATAGAATTTTAAAGAGCGGAGCTATTGTACCTGGCTAGGTTGATTAGGAAAGGCCTTATAAATAATAGTTGAAGAGACTTTTGAGGAAGTAGAAGTGAGGCTAACAAAGGTAGAGGTATTAGGATGAATAACAACAACACAAGAAATGGAAAAGCTTGTTTTGTGACAGGGAAAAGGGAAATGATAAGAAGTTTGGGTTGGGATCTGCTGAGTTTGAGGTGGCACTGTGGGATAAGTACTGGACTGCTAACCACAAGGTTGGCAGTTCAAACTCACCAGCCATTGTGCCCTGTGAACCACTATAGAGACTTGGAGATGGGGAAGCAATGGAGGGTTTTAAGCAGAAGAGTGAGATGCGCTTCTTATGCTCCACAGAGTCACCTTTGCTTCTGTGCTTAGAATAGAGTGCAGAGAGTAATGGTGTCTCCTCCTGTGTAAACAGGGTGAACAACCGTGACTTCTTAGGATTACCATTATATATACTGAAATAATCTGACTGAAGCACTTGGGGCATGACCTACCATGTAGTGGTCAATCAACACATGTTAAGAGTCCTGATGTGGTGCTGCAGGATAAGCACTGACTGCTAACAGAAAAGTCGGTGGTTCAAACCCACCAGGTGCTCCACAGAAATCCTATACAGGTTCACTATAAGTTGGCAATGACTAGAGGGCACTTAGCAAAAACAACAATACATGCTAACTATTTCATTATTAGCATCTTCACCTTCTCTTACAGAAAAGTTTTTTCTAAAGTTAAGGAGAATTCTTTGTGAGAAATCATTAGGGACCAGCAAAAAATGAGTACATGTTTGCATAACAAACTAAACTTTGGTATTTTAAGCTTTGATAGGGTTTTGCTGTTTTTATTCAAATGTATGGAAATTTGGCATGACTATCATATTGTTGTTATGTGCTATGCAGTCAAATCATAGGGACCCTGTATAGGGTTTCTGAGGAGCAGCTGGTGAGTTCGAACCACCAACCTTGTGCTTCAAACCTACCTTGTGGTCTGGTGCTTATCCTACAGCGCCACACCAGGACTCCAATATCTATGATAACTTATTTTAATGATCCTTTATTGAATATGCAGAGCCATAGTAGGCTCTTAGAATTATAAGAGCCAGAGGAATTGTTTATTCCTGTAAGTGTAGGGGACTTAAATAAATATACTTATGAATGAGCATGTAAATGAAGTAATATTCATCTACTAATTTAACAAATAGTCACTGAGTCCCTACTATGTGCTAAGTACCATGCTAGGTGCTGGGAACACTAGTGAACCAGGCTCAGTCCCTGTTGTGAGGGAAATGTACATAGTACAATTATCTATTACAATTCAGAGTGAAAAGTGTCCATATTTTATTAACAAGATGGACCAATCCAACTAGCTACTTAATTCAGCAAAGAACATTTGTAGCAACTTTCTAGAAATTGCTGAAATTCCATAAAACACAGAATTATGTACTATACTTTCCTGCAGGTAAAAGTGATGAAATGCAAATAGTCCAAATAAAAACTAGATAGATTGGTGAACTGATTATTTAATATTTATTAGATGAAAATGAATAATAAATAATATGATTCAAAGCAAAAACCAGATTAAGAGCTCAACTGATTTTTGGTTCTTTTTCCCTTTGTGGTGCTATATAGTAAGCCCTCTACTGGGAGGTCGGTTAGAACTCACTAGCTGAGTTTGAAACTCTTAACAACAACAACAATTAAACAAGTAAACTATGTGAAAATATAAGATATAGCCTTGACTGTAAGGATCAGGGAAAGGTTCCCTGAGGAAGTGATGTTTAAACTGAAACCTGAAAAGCAAACAGGCGTTAACCTGGCCAAAAGAAAGAATCTATTTCCATCCTCTATACTTCCCTGGTAAGGATAAGCACGTGACTGCTAACCACAAGGTTGGCAGTTCAAACCCACCAGCTACTCCTCAGAAACCCTATACAGGGTTGCTGTAAGTTAGAACTGACTCAATAGTACTTAACAACAATACCTCTCTGCACTTACCAAACTTTAGTTGGAATTGATCATTTCATTATTCAGCTTCACTGTGAACTTTAGAAGGTCAGTCACTAAGTCTATTTGTCAACAGAATCCCTGAGTCCCTAGTACCTAGCACATAGTGAACTGAATGACTTTAGAGAAGGAAATTCAAACTCATAGCATCTGCGTGTGGTATATTTACAGACTCTAGGGAGGTGCACTTCTATCCAACAATACCGTACGCACAAAAACCTGATGAGGAATGAGAAAAGATTTACCTGTCATAAATCTTGGCAATTCTCAGTTCTCCTCTTCCCTTTCGCAAACTTATTCTTGTTGTTGAAGCATGAGCTAGAATGTGTCCCCCGATGGGTTTTTTGGGGTCTGCCTGAAAGCTGAATTTGTAAGAGACATTTTCAGAGTTCATCATATAGATGCCATTACAAAGCAACATTGCTGTAGGGATGCATTCTAAATAAGCAGGGGCTTGTTCCCAAACTGTGGAATGAGGTGGGGTTTGGAGCTGCTAAGTACCCCATTGTCAACTAGTTCAGGCTTCCATCTAGGATTCCTATGATAAATATCTCGTTAATATTCTGGTGTAATCTAGGGAGCTCTAGTAGTGTAGTGGTTACGAATCAGGCTGCTAACCTCAGGGTCAGCAGTTTGAAACTACC